TTACACTTTCAAAATAACAGAAAACAAAAAAATGGCGTCTGCAAAAGTTTGGGCACCCTGCAGAATTTATAGCATGCACTGCCCCCTTTGCCAAGCTGAGACCTGCCTGTGTCATGGATTGTTCTCAATCATCGTCTGGGAAGACCAGGTGATGTCAATCTCAAAGGTTTTAAATGCCCAGACTCATCTGACCTTACCCCAACAATCAGCACCATGGGTTCTTCTAAGCAGTTGTCTAGAAAACTGAAACTGAAAATAGTTGACGCTAAAAAGCTGGAGAAGGCTATAAGAAGATAGCAAAGCGTTTTCAGATGTCAATATCCTCTGTTCGAAATGTAATTAAGAAATGGCAGTCATCAGGAACAGTGGAAGTTAAAGCAAGATCTGGAAGACCAAGAAAAATATCAGACAGAACAGCTCGCAGGATTGTGAGAAAAACAATTCACAACCCACGTTTGACTGCACGATCCCTCCAGAAAGATCTGGCAGACACTGGAGTTGTGGTACACTATTCCACTATAAAGAGATACTTGTATAAATATGGTCTTCATGGAAGAGTCATCAGAAGAAAACCTCTTCTACGTCCTCACCACAAAAATCATCGTTTGAACTTTGCAAATGAACATATAGACAAGCCTGATGCATTTTGGAAACAAGTTCTGTGGACTGATGAGGTTAAAATTGAACTTTTTGGCCGGAATGAGCAAAGGTACGTTTGGAGAAGAAGGGGCACAGAATTTAATGAAAAGAACCTCTGTCCAACTGTTAAGCATGGGGTTGGATCAATCATGCTTTGGGGTTGTATTGCAGCCAGTGGCACAGGGAACATGTCACGAGTAGAAGGAAAAATGGATTCAATAAAATTTCAGCAAATTTTGGATGGTAACTTGATGCCATCTGTGAAAAAGCTGAAGTTAAAGAGAGGATGGCTTCTACAAATGGATAATGATCCTAAACACACCTCGAAATCCACGGGGGATTACATCAAGAGGCGTAAACTGAAGGTTTTGCCATGGCCTTCACAATCTCCTGACCTCAACATAATTGAAAATCTATGGATAGACCTTAAAAGAGCAGTGCGTGACAGACAGCCCAGAAATCTCAAAGAACTGGAAGACTTTTGTAAGGAAGAATGGGCAAAGACACCTCAAACAAGAATTGAAAGACTCTTGGCTGGCTACAAAAAGCGTTTACAAGCTGTGATACTTGCCAAAGGGGGCAGTACAAGATAATAACTCTGCAGGGTGCCCAAACTTTTGCAGATGCCATTTTTTTGTTTTCTGTTATTTTGAAAGTGTAAATGATGGAAATAAAATCTAACTTTTGTTGACATATTATAAGAATGTCTAATTTGTAATTTGATGCCATTTGGAGATTTTTCCATCTTTCCTTGGCTTCTTTATGCACATTAATACAAATTTTTAGCTAGGGTGCCCAAACTTTCAATCCCCACTGTAGTAGGCATATAAATCTGGACAAGCCATCCCCCTTGGGTCCTGGGTCTCTGCAGTACTGTTAATTTAAATCTAGACTGCCGTGAGCCCCACAGGAAAGAAACCATCACAGAGTATATTCAACAGGGAGGGGAGAAATTTCATTTTTATAAGATTGATTTTACCTACTAGTGAAAGAGGGAGGTTGGCCCATGCGAACATGCATTGCTTCACTTTCAGCAATAGGGGTAGGAGATAAAGCGTACAGAATTCTGAGGCATTTGAAGAGACCATTACTCCCAAGTATTTCACTGCTGAGGTCCATTGCAAGGGGATGTCGGGATCAGCTACTGCTGTAGCTTCTGCATCCATTGGTAAGATCTGAGACTTATCCCAACTGACTTTCAAACCTGAGAGTGGGGAAAAGGTGGAAATCAAGTTCAGGGCCTCCTTAAGGGATGGGCCCAGATCATGAAGAAACTGGACTAGGTCATCAGCAGATAGTGCCACTGTTTCAGTGATAGGGCCCACCTGTATTCCTCTAATACTGGAGGTCTGGCGTATAGCCTGTGCCAAGGGTTCCCTTACCAGTGTAAATTGGCCAGGGGAGAGTGGGCACCCTTGTCTCGTCCCCCTACCTATAGGAAAGGACTCGGAGAGGTCGCACCCCCGCCCCCAGTTTTATTTGCACCAATCGTGTATTATGCAGAATGTTTATCCAGGTACAAAAATACACTCCTACTCCCATCACCTCTAGTACTGAAGACATGTAGGTCCAGTGAACAGAGTCAAATGCTTTTTCAGCATCCAACATTACCAAGATATGTAAGGATGACTGTCAGGAATGGACTTTCCAGTAATGGTGGGACCCACCTGCCTTGTGGGCTGCAGTACCAAGGCTGGCCAGTGAGTGCTCCCGGCAATCAGAGACTCAACCCTGCAGCCAGCCTAACACCTGAAGTTGATCATGCAGGTGTATTTAAGTGATGGCCAGACCTGCAGTCTCTGCCTTGGTGTGTGTGTTTTTTCCTGGGCCCTGTATCTTGTTCCTGCGTTCCTGTTCCTGTCTCTGTCTGATTCGTTGCTGACCCTGCCTGATTCCGGACTTCTGCTGACTTCTCCTGTTTCTTCCCTGGCTTGTGACCCCGACCATTCTCTGCCTGACCCCCTGTTCCTACCTGCCCGATTGTTATTGACCCGGCCTGCCTGACGACGCTTGCATTGTATATATTGTTATCTGTGGGTGGTTTGGTTCGTTTGCACTGTGTTATGTTTTAGTATTGCACTGCGTTTATGTTTGTATTGTTAGTCTTTAATAAATTGTCTTATTGTTTATAACATATCTGAAGCCTGCGTTTCCCTGCGTCAGTCACATACCTCTGGTCACACCCCGGAGCCCTGACATTACACCAAGGCCAATCCTGACCAGAAGTGGCTGCACAGGGAAGCCATCTTGGCTTATTGCTGGGAAGGATGGATATTGATGAGGTTGTGTATTTATCTCTGCTAGTGTTTGATGACAGGGAGTATGCTTATCAAACTCTGAAGGAGTATCCCAGGGATGAACTGCTAGAATGTATACGGATCGCTCATGTTCTAGTAGATCAGGGCACAGAATTCTCTGAGGTGCAGCCATTGATTCAGGTTTGTGCTGAGTTGGTTTCATCTGGTACCCCCAAATGCAGGGATGAATTTTTGCCCCCATTTAGTGCAGACCAGGTAGAGTCCCTGGTATGGTTATTGGAGGATGATGTGGATTACTTTCTGGAGCGTTATTCTGCATGTTCACAACAGGTACTAAGAGATTGTATAAACGCAGTGCAGTCATTGACCAGACAGGCTTTGTTCAACCCATACTGCAGACATGGTCAGACTTGTTGCACCCAGCCTCAGTCAGCTTGCAAAAACCCAGTCCTGCTTCAAATCTATTTCTTCAAAGCTCTATTCCTGCATTCCAACAGCTCCTCCTGCCCTGCTATCTACCGCATGTCAGTACCCTGTTCCCACTCGCTGCACCTATCCTGCCTTTAACCCTGTAAAGAAGCCCTCTGTAGCAACTGCTCCCTCCTCTGTTCCATCTTCCAGCTCTTCTCTGTCCTCAGCTGCTCCATTCGTTTGCAGACCTGCGTTTACTTGCAGTGCCCCAGTAGTTAAAACCAGAAAAAAGTGGAAATTCTTTCCAACCAGTACCATCCTGCCAGTATCCAAACCGGTGAGCCTGCCGTCTGAGAACCTGCCTTTCGTGGTTCAGCCTGGTGCCTCGGCACCCGCACTTCAGCCTGATGTCTGTACCCAGCCTGATGTCTGTACCCAGCCTGATGTCTGTACCCAGCCTGATGTCTGTACCCAGCCTGATGTCTGTACCCAGCCTGATGTCTGTACCCAGCCTGATGTCTGTACCCAGCCTGATGTCTGTACCCAGCCTGATGTCTGTACCCAGCCTGATGAACTGACCCAGCCTGATGAACTGACCCAGCCTGATGAACTGTACCCAGCCTGATGAACTGACCCAGCCTGATGAACTGACCCAGCCTGATGTCTGTACCCAGCCTGATGTCTGTACCCAGCCTGATGAACTGATCCAGCCTGATGATCCTATCACGCCTGATGACCCCGTGCCCGCTGTCGATACAGATGATCCGGTACCTGATGACCCAGTGCCTGCTGTCATGCCTGGTGACCCGATGCCCGCTGTCGAGCCAGACGATTCAGCGCCAGATGACCCGGTGCCCGCTGTCGTGCCAATTGACTCAGAGTCCACTGTTGTGCCTGGTGACTCGGTGCCCACTGCCTTGCCAGATGACGTGGTGCCTGCTGGCGAGCCAAATGACCTGATGCCTGGTGACCCAGTGCCCGCTGTCATACCTGGTGACCCGATGCCTGCTGTCAAGCCAGACAATCCCATGCCTGATGACCCAGTGCCCGTTGTCATGCCTGGTGACCCGATGCCCGCTGTCGGGCCAGACGATCCAATGTCTGACCCAGTGCCCGCGATCATGCCAGTTGACTCAGAGCCCACTGTCGTGCCTGGTGACTCGGTGCCCACTGCCTTGCCAGATGACGCGGTGCCCACTGGCGAGCCAAATGACCTGATGCCTGGTGACCCGATGCCCGTTGTCGTGCCTGGGGGCCCGGTGCCTGCCACTCCGCCTGGGGGCCTGATGCCTGTCGCCCCGCCTAGGGGCCGATGCCTGTCGCCCCGCCTGGGGGCCCGGCACCTGTCGCTCTGCCTGGGGGAGCGGCGCCCGCCGCTCCGCCTGGGGGCCCGAGACCTGGCGCTCGGCCTGGGGGTCCGGTGCCCGCCGCTCCGCCTGGGGGCCCGAGACCTGTCGCTCCGCCTGGCTCCGCCTGGGGGCCCGAGACCTGTCGCTCCGCCTGGGGGTCCGCGGGGGTCCGGCGCCCGCCGCTCCGCCTGGGGGCCCGAGACCTGTCGTTCCGCCTGGGGGTCCGGCGGCCGCTCCGCCTGGGGGCCCGAGACCTGCCCGCCCGCTGGGGGTCCGGCGCCCGCCGCTGCCTGGGGGCCGAGACCTGTCGTTCCGCCTGGGGGGGGTCCGGCGCCCGCCGCTCCGCCTGGGGAGTCCGGCGCCCGCCGCTCCGCCTGGGGGCCCGAGACCTGTCGCTCCGCCTGGGGGTCCGGCGCCCGCCGCTCCGCCTGGGGGCCCGAGACCTGTCGCTCCGCCTGGGGGTCCGGCGCCCGCCACCCCGCCTGGGGGCCCGATGCCTGTCGCCCCGCCTGAAGGCCCGATGCCTGCCGCTCCGCCCGGTGCCTGCCGCTCCGCCCGGTGATCCGGTGTCCAGCCCGATGTGCCTCTGCCCGGAGTCCAGCCCGATGTGCCTCTGCCCGGAGTCCAGCCCGATGTGCCTCTGCCCGGAGTCCAGCCCGATGTGCCTCTGCCCGGAGTCCAGCCCGATGTGCCTCTGCCCGGAGTCCAGCCCGATGTGCCTCTGCCCGGAGTCCAGCCCGATGTGCCTCTGCCCGGAGTCCAGCCCGATGTGCCTCTGCCCGGAGTCCAGCCCGATGTGCCTCTGCCCGGAGTCCAGCCCGATGTGCCTCTGCCCGGAGTCCAGCCCGATGTGCCTCTGCCCGGAGTCCAGCCCGATGTGCCTCTGCCCGGAGTCCAGCCCGATGTGCCTCTGCCCGGAGTCCAGCCCGATGTGCCTCTGCCCGGAGTCCAGCCCGATGTGCCGCTGCCCGGAGTCCAGCCCGATGTGCCGCTGCCCGGAGTCCTGCTGCCCAGAGTCCAGCCCGGTGTGCCTGCCCCGAGTCCAGCCCGATGTGCCTCCAGTCCAGCCCGATGTGCCTCCGCCCGGAGTCCTGCCCGATGTGCCTCCGCCCGGAGTCCAGCCCGATGTGCCTGCTGCGCCGATGGAGTCCTGCTGCCCGGAGTCCAGCCCGATGTGCCTCCGCCCGGCCCGGAGTCCTGCCCGATGTGCCTCCGCCTGCGCCGCTGCCGCTGCCCGGAGTCCTGCCCGGTGTGCCTCTGCCCGCAGTCCAGCTGCCCGGAGTCCAGCCCGGTGTGCCGCTGCCCGGAGTCCAGCCCGATGTGCCGCCGCCCGGAGTCCTGCCCGATGTGCCAGTCTTTGATATCCCGCCAGTTACCAGACCCTGGCGGTGGAACATTTTGCCCAGCTAGGACTGTTTGGAGCGTCCTGAGGCCGCTCCTTGAGGGGGGGGTACTGTCAGGAATGGACTTTCCAGTAATGGTGGGACCCACCTGCCTTGTGGGCTGCAGTACCAAGGCTGGCCAGTGGGTGCTCCCGGCAATCAGAGACTCAACCCTGCAGCCAGCCTAACACCTGAAGTTGATCATGCAGGTGTATTTAAGTGATGGCCAGACCTGCAGTCTCTGCCTTGGTGTGTGTGTGTTTTTCCTGGGCCCTGTATCTTGTTCCTGCATTCCTGTTCCTGTCTCTGTCTGATTCGTTGCTGACCCTGCCTGATTCCGGACCTCTGCTGACTTCTCCTGTTTCATCCCTGGCTTGTGACCCCGACCATTCTCTGCCTGACCCCCTGTTCCTACCTGCCCGATTGTTATTGACCCGGCCTGCCTGACGACGCTTGCATTGTATATATTGTTATCTGTGGGTGGTTTTGTTTGGTTCGTTTGCACTGTGTTATGTTTTAGTATTGCACTGCGTTTATCTTTGTATTGTTAGTCTTTAATAAATTGTCTTATTGTTTATAACATATCTGAAGCCTGCGTTTCCCTGCGTCAGTCACATACCTCTGGTCACACCCCGGAGCCCTGACAATGACTCTGTTAAAGGGAGTTGAATATGTGTTAAAACTCTGCGCAAATTAATATTTGTTGATTTCCCTGGAACAAACCCATTCTGGTCAATACTAATTAGCGAAGGGAGGAGTTTCATTAATCTCATCGCAAAGACCTTTGTCAGAATTTAGAGGTCATAATTCAAAAGTGATGTGGGTCTGTAGGAGGCACAGAACAGGGGATCTTTGCCAGGCTTCGGTATCAGCACGATATGCACTTGGTACATTGAGGGTGGAAGAGCCTGCTGCGCATAACTTTTTTTAAAAAAGCCACAGAGTTATAGGACTACGTCTTTGACATAGGAATCGCCTTGTAACCTGTCAGGTCCAGGCGTTTTATTGGGAGGGAAGAAGTGGATAGCAGATTCTATTTCAGAAACAGAAATTTCTTTGTCAAGAGCTCTTACCACCTCCTCCATTAAGGTCAATAGAGAGAGGCACCGCAGAGTATACAATAAAGTTGAAGATGTCGGTGTGGGGATAAGATGATCGAGAGATTGGAAATAGAAATGGAATTCTTGCAATGTATTGGAGGGCTCTGAAAGGAGATCTCCAGTGGAAGACCTCAGTTGAGGTATTGCAGTTTGTTGGTGAGAATCTGCCACCAGAATAGCTAGTAGTCTACTGTTTTTGGCACCCAACTCGAACAGTCTTCCAGATTGGGTGGCAGCCTTGGAATGGGTAAGAGAGGTGAAATGGAGCTCCAAATCCCTATGGGCCTGTGCCAGTTTAACGTGGTTGTTTCAGTAGGAGAACTTGCAAGATCTGAGGCTGCTGCAGATTCGCATTGCTCCAATGTAGTGATACGTGCAGGAAACTCCTCCCTTGCTGTCTTTATGGCAGAGATGTACTGACCTCATGTATATGCTTTGAACATTCCACCTCTCCCCTTACGGTGTGGGATACATCAATTCACCTCCCAAAACTGGGCCAAGGAGTCAGACAGTAACTGTTGGACTTTCCCATTGCGGAGCCATTTGGAATCCAGCCACCAACATCCCAGATTCCTCCTTCCTTCTAAATCTCCTAAATCTAGGGTGAGTTCCAAGGGAGAGTGATCCGAGATGCCCGCAGTCAAGTAGGTGACTTTACCCACCAACCCCAATAAGGGAGAGGAGCCAAACGCCAGGTCTATCCGGAAGGCAGATTTATGAGAAGCTGAAAAACATGAATAATAACGATCTTGTGGATGTTTAAATCTCCACAGCTCCATAAGACCAAACAACTGAGCCCAAACGTCCAGGTCAGGGCCAGAGGCCCTCTGAGGGTTAGAGGAATCCAAAGGCACATTAAGAACTGTAATAAAATCTCCAACAAACAACCTCTGAAACCTGTAAGGGTGCCAATTTATCCTGTACTGCATACAACACCCCAGGAGAAAAGGGAGGGGGTATATATCCATTGACAAAAGCATATGTGACATTTCTAATTCCCAAAATTAAAATAATAAATCTGCCTCCAGGATCAATGCACACATGGAGGAATTTACTTCAGAGTATGGTGACCTCCCTTGCATAGCTAGAGTATGTGGAATGAAAAGCCTGCTGCACTCAAGCTCTACGGAGAGATAATATCTTGTTACCCAAGAGATTGGTTTCCTGTAGAAAAAGGACATGCATTTTATGGGAATTAAGGAACTTGAACATTAGGGACCGTTTGAATTTATTATTCAATCCCCATACATTCCATAAGACTAATTTGAGTTCAATAGTGGGATGTGGGTTGGGATAGAGCATAAGAGAATAATACTAAGTGGGCTTGGTTGCATATGGGAAACAGAGGCGTACAAGTCCTAGCTGAATTTCTAAGCCAGTGACGAGAGTCGCCACCCCCTCCAACTGAAGACAGGTACATCAAACCGTGACATTCTAGAATCATGATAAATGGGCGGTTGCAAAATTCAGTGAACATTGTAAACTCCCTACTGACCAATAAACCCAAACAAAACAGTCTGGCCAGCTTAATACCCGTAACAGAACTAGAAGTGCTTCTCTTCAAAGATCACTCCAGACGTCTCCAAAGGCAAAGGTCCTTCACTTCCTCAGGGTAGAGCAGGACTGAAGGGCTAGGGCCTTATAACATAGGTTAACTGAATGAAGGATGTAAGCACATAGTAAGCAGATGTGCTCTAAAGGGGATCCCAAGCCATCCTAAAACATTAGGGCAGCACTGTAGGACAGAGAGTCGATGGCTCCAAACAGCTTCCTCCCACATCCCGAGGTCATTGCCAGAGGTACTCACATTGAGAGGCCACAATGGGAGGGCAACATGGGAGACTAGTAATCAGGTCTCTCGACAGTATAAAGGATCCAGAAAATTTGAGCAAGTCATTCAATAGAAACAGCCAGGTGTCAACTTCAGTAGGTGAATCATAGAAGCAGACTGACCCCTCACATTCCACATGGAGACAGCTGGGGTAAAGCATGCTGTATTTAATATTTTTGTCACGCAGACACTGTAGAACATCATTAAATGTCTTCCTCTTCCTTTGTAGCTTGGCTGAAAAGTTCCAGAATAGAAGGATAGATGAGTTACCAAATTGTAATGTGGAGTGCCTCCTAGCTTTAGGAAGGATGGTGTCCCTATCCCGGTAATTGAGGAAACGGACCAGGAAGAAACAAAGACTACTCCCTGGGATGGCGCGCCCCTTGGGCACCTGGTGCGCCCGCTCCACAACATAGGTCAACGAGATTGCCAGAGGGGCCAGCAGATCCGTGAAAGATTCTGCAAACTTGGCCGGCCGGTCTGTGGCAGGCGCAGCACCCTTTGGTGCCTAGTGCGCTGTGGCATTAGAAAAATTATGCAATTGCTGTTTCTTTGTTTGATTAGACTGATTTTACTCTGTAATTCCTCCAATGCCGCTCTATGGATGCAGTAGGTTTAAAGAGCACACCGAATACTTTAGTTAACTTCTTTAATAACTTCAATCTTCTTCATATAACACTGCTTACACAATGGCTTGTTTCTTTCATATTACAATGTTTTAATTCGTATTACATTGGGTTGATTCAATAGCTTATGTCGATAGATTCATTAGATTCGTTCGCTTATGTTATTAGATTAATTCGTTAAATTCGATTATGATTACTGTACAGTGACTTGATTCGTAAATTCGATTCGA